CATAAGTACTTGTTTATGGAAAAAAAATGATCGCTTAAAGAGGTATCATATATAAACTACATCTGGTCTGCCACCTCTGCCAACATCGCCAGCGCGCCTCCATAAGTTGATGAATTTCAAGTTGTAAGTCATATGCAATGGCATAGCCCGAGTTTGTAAAATTTATGGTCAATAAACGGAAGATTTCAATTCTCATCACAATAATTCATAACCGGTGTATAGTAATCATTTACTTACTGGTGTAATATAAACTTGTGAATTTATTACATATGTTTGTTTTAGATGATAAGATAGTGGAGATCGACCAATTTAACTCGGAACTAATTAAGAATATTATGTTATTACAAAAGTAATACTATAATTAGGGTGAAGTTATGACGTGAACCACTCCATAAAATTTAAAAGAATTTGTGTTACATATGAGATAAACTAATGAAATTTGATGTTTTATAGATAATAATCTTGATTTTTTTTTTTCTTGTCCTACTCTCTTTCTCGATTTCTCGTGTATTTCACAATTGCGAACTAGTCTGAACCCACCTTCCCCAAGAAATCCACCGAAGAAAAGGACTACATGATAAGGTTAAGCTCAGCCAAGTGCATACATGGAGGTTAGAACATGCAAGCGAATTTGATATATCCTGAGCTGTTTAAATCCCTAAACAAGATCATGGGGAAAGATCGAAAGAGTTCTAAGACGCGATAACATAATTCTTTTTGGGTTTATTCAATGTACGAACCGTTTCTTGAATCTGGAAACAATTTGCCAATAATGATATTGTTGGTCTCGTGACCATCATGGTTTCTTCTTCTTTTAGAATCAAGTAAAATGGTGATTCTGAAATTTAGACAAGTGATGAAGGAGAGAAAAAATGCATGAGCCAAAACGCACGTACACTCTCTATTTTCAAAAATTAACTCGGATTACCCATCGTTTGGTTAAAAGTTGCATGTGGCATCCCTCGTTAGTTTAAGTTTGCACATTTCATCCCTTACGAGACATGAAATTACTATTCTACCCTTATTATTATTTTTTTAATTTATTTTTTTCTTACATTTATTTACAATATACAACAAAAGAAAATAAAAACCCCACCCACCACCTTATCCTTACCCCTTCCCTTCTAAACCCTCCTTCCCCTAAATTCTTTGACAGACAAACACCATCGGCAGACCATCACCACAGCCGGACCACCGACTACCACCGTCGACCACCACCTTTTTCTCTCAAAGACACCGTCAATGACCCTTCTTCCCGTGTTCTTCTTCCCAACAGTCCTTAACCACCAATGAACCATATGTTTCCCTTGTTCTTTTTCCCAGACGGAGAAACATTGGTGATGGCGGGCTATGGTGTTTCCCTTGTTCTCCATAACCATCACTGTAAACCGAGCTACAAATGTGGGTTAAAACAGGCGTCGTAGATGGGGTTAAAACAAATGTTGGTTAACCATATCTGAAAATCAATATTTACTTGTCAGCTAGCGTTTCGAGGTTGTGTAGGTTGTCGGGGATGGAGCCATCATCGCCACTTGTAGGGTTTTACACGGATCTGCTCTAGGGTTTTGAGAGTTATAGGCCCAATTTGCAGATGTGTGGTCGTCGACAGAGTTGCAGAAGAGAGGAGAAGGTGGCTGAGCAGATCCGTGATGGTGGTGCTTTGTGGGATCTACAACCCGTCGACTGGTCGGCGGCTTTGTCGAATCTACAACCGGAGAAATATACCTACTTTGTCGGATCTGCAACTCGTTAGCGGCATCTAGGTAGGTAGTGGTAGTGGGTGACGATTGGAAAATAGAGAAAAAGGAAGGTTGTTCTCGTTGGAGAAAAGATGAGGAGCATCCGAAGAAAGCATGAGGAGTGTTGTTCTCGGCAGTGAGTGTAAAGGAGGGAGACAAAGAAGGAATCAGGGAAACGAGAAAGGGGGAAGAGGGAGGGGTGGGATATTAATTTTTTTCTTTTTTTTTTAAATCTAAAAACTAATAAATAAGTAATAGAAAAATAAAAGAGAAATTGTTAAAGACAAAATAGTCTTTTCATGTCCATGGGACTTAGCGTGCAAGAAAAAACAAACTCATGGACGGTCCGAGCTAATTTTTAAAAATAATGATTAATCATGCACTTTGACACATACACGTGGGACGAATGGTGTAATTTACTCAAAAGAAAAACACTGGATGTAATGAAAATGGTGGGGTGGGTTGTGAGCCCATTAGTATTTTATAATTAATAAATATTAAAGAAAATGAAAAAACTAAATCATAAGGGTAAAAGAGTCTTTTCAATTTTTGACGGGGACTAATTCCAAAATAAAACTAGCTAAAAATGACCTTTTTTTGCAATTTTTAAAAGATTTGACAAACCATGGAGACCATTTTTGCTGTTTTGTCACAAGAATATGAGGTTAATACACTCAACCTCCGTCTTCATCTTGTAAGAATGGGACGTTAGTTTGTTCCGCATAATAGTCGACCTCCTTTTGACATCCCCGTTCTCATAGGAGACAGTAGACAAATACATGAAATCTAATATCAAAGTAAACTTTTTATCAAAAATTAAAATTTCAAATCAAAATTTTAAAAAATTATTAGTATGTCACTTACCTTAGCCGGGGTCAATTTTCTTGAGTTTGAGGGAAATGAACTCGGTAATGCAGCACAAAAAACATGTGTTTATTTGGGATTGTATTTTGCCTCTTTTGTTTGCATATACTTATAAATCTAAAGCATTTAATGTCATTAAAAAATAAAGCAACAATGGTAAAAGGAAAGAAGTGCTTAAGGAAAACATGTTTTGCCCAAGTGATTTGAATTCCAACTGTAAGGTTTCCCTAATGTGTCTTTCACATAGTGACATGTCAAGCATTTTATATGAGGCATGGTTCGGATTCAAGCCAAATGAACAACATCGTAGAGTCTATGGATGTGTGACATACTCACACATCCCAAAGCAGTGAAAGAGCAAACTCGATGATAAAGTTGAAAAAACCATATTTGTTGGTTATAGTGAAATCCCAAAGGCATACAAGTCATATAATCATATATCAAAGAAGACAATACTAAGTAGGGAGGTAACTTTTGATGAATGAAAGAATTGGGAAGATACTTTGAAAGTTCTTTTGAGAACCTAAAGATTTGTGCGAACTTGAGAACTACTAATCCAAACATCATTTTTCAAAATCAACAGTCATACAGACTGCGGACGCAGATAAGACTGCTGATTCCTATATATATATATATATATATATATATATATATATATATATATATATATATATATATATATATATATATATATATATATATATATATATATATATATATAGGAAATGATCAAATGAGAACACCTAAAAGGTTGAGAACGCGAGAACAATTCTAGACCAATAATTTCATAAGGGTATAAAAGGAATTTTACGATGTAATTAAATATGGATAATTAATAACTCCTAAAATCATGGGATGTTATCTAATTAATTATTTTTTTTTACATAAATACTAGAAATGTATTTAATCTATTTTTAATCAATAATATTATTTAGAAAAACGTTTTTACCCTGATTAAAAAACATTTTTTTTACCAATCTATCAAAAATATTGATGAGTTCATCATTTAATCCGAATATTGATGAGTTCATCATTTAATCCGAATATAGTGTAGATCTGTTCTCGCGTTCTCAACCTTTTTGATATTCTCATTTGATCCTTCTCCTATATATATATATATATATATATATATATATATATATAATATATATATATATATATATATATATATGCGTGTGTGTGTATATGAATCAACAGTCATATGTGGACTGTGGATGCATGCTTATCCGCAGTTATGTGACTGCGACGCGTAGTTCTCAACTGCAGATTTGAAGTTCACAAGTTCTCATAAATCTTTAGGTTCACACAATAACTTAGCCCAAGTCCCCTAACAATAACACCACTCCTAATTGTTCAAGTAGCTCACCATCCTCGAATTACTCAGATACGGGATCACCAAGCTCACCACTTGTGAAAAAAAACAAGAACTTTAAGAGGCTTATATGACAATACTCAAGAATTAAACTTTGATGACATCCTCGAATTTGCCTTCTTTGTTGATTCACACCCATTAAGTTTCGAAGAAGCAATACAAGAAGACAAGTGAAAAAGAGCCATGGATGATGAGATTATGGCCATATGGAAGAATGATACGTGAGAACCGGTTAACCTATGCCAAGTAGACAAATACAAGGCAATGTTAGTTGTAAAGAGATACAATAGACTTCGAGCGGATTACAATGAGGTTTTCACACCGGTGATCAAGTTTGAAACTAGCACAAAAGCCATCAAAGGATCTGAAGAATGTCTCTATGTAGATGACTTGATTTTTCACAGGAGGGTGTTTCCAGATGATTAACGATTTTAAAGGATCAATGAATTCCTCACATGTTAGCTCGATTTTAGAGAATAATAAATAGGCAGTTGCAAAGAAATTATATATATATATATATATATATATATATATATATATATATATATATATATATATATATATATATATATAAGAACCCAAATGATTAAGAACCCTAAGAACCTCTAATTTTTAACTTAACATCAAAATGTAAACTTAGACTACAAAATAATATCTGGTCATTTTACTTACATCCAAACACTCTCACTCGCCTTCAAGAGCTCAAACACAAACCCTCCATCTATCATCACCAACTACCACCCTTGCCGCCACCCACCGGCACCGCCGCCATAGACCATCGCTGCCACCGTAGACCGTCGTCGCTTCCGGCCATAGTCACCGTCATAGTCCGACACCATCTTTTTATCTTCGTTTTTTGGTGTGTTTGATGCATTTCAGGTGTAGATATGCATTAGATCTGGTGTGTTTGATGCGTTTCAAGTGTAGATCTCAAGTTTGTGGTTTATTTTCCGGTGTCCAACAATGGTTCCACCACCACATCAGATCTACTCCACCAGCTCCTCCTCTGACCTGCTATGCTAGATCTACGAGTTCCGACGAACGGCAAAATCTATGATAAATGGTTTTGTAGTTTAAGCTCATAACATGTACAATAAGATTCTGTAAATATTTAACAATATGTATTTACATGTCAAAACGGTTGCGGTTGCTATTTTTAATCTATAAACAAATAATTAAAAGAATTTATCAAAAATTATACTTAAAATGGGTCAAAATGTATTATCTCTGCTCACTATTAATATTTTTACTATGTTTATCTATAACAAATAAATGCAAATTGTTGGAAACAGTAGCATATTTTGCTCTTATTGACATGGACAATGTATTTTAATTTTTACCTATAATAGCAACCCATTTATGGTTTCTCCAATTATACCAATTACAAACATGAAAAATGGATAACATATTACCATTTAAATTATTTTATTTTATATATGTAGCATGTGGTCAACGATGATGTGGTTATATTATTGATCCAACTTGTATTAAGAGAGCATCTTCTACCAAGGTTTGAGCCTTCCATGAAGTGCTCATATTTAGTGGATCAATTGACTATGGTATACATAAAAGAAACAATATCCACAATAAACTATTAACCACTATAACATATAGAATCCAAAAGTGACGTGTCACCTGAAAAAAACTCATGACTAACACCATCTATCTCAATAGTACTACACCCAGGCTCCTTGATTACACCCTTATCAGCCATCATCTTCCACACCGAATGAACCTCATCCCACTTACAAGCCACTGCATAAACTCTTGATAAAAGCACATAAACACCACTAAACTTCTCCCCTTCTTCACACTCCATAATCTTTCTTCCCATTTCTTCACTAACTTCAATTCCCACATTTTTCTTCGAACAAGCATCAAGAATACTCCTCCAAATCACCACATCGGGTTTAATTACCATTTTGGAAACCACATCTAGTGCCTCAGCAATGAGTCCGGATCTAGCCAGAAGGTCAACCAAACACCCGTAATGCTCCAAAACTGGCTCAATCCCATACTTTGTTGTCATAATGGTGAAATAGGTTTGACCCTCGTTGACCATTCCACTATGTCTACAAGCACTTAAAACCCCACTAAATGTAATGGAGTTAGGGATTATTCTTTCTTCTTCAACCATTTGTTTGAAATAGTCTAAAGCTGATTTCACTACCCCGTGCATTGCGAATCCGAGAATCATTGTGTTCCATGATGTTACATCATGTTTTGTCATTTTTTTGAACACCGTTTTAGCATCTTCTAATGACCCACATTTGAAATACATATCTAGAAGACAATTATTGACTAAAACATCGTTAGCTACTTCAATGTTGCATCTTTTTAAGATATATGTATGGGCCCAGAGTCCGAGTGATAAAGCTCCCAATCCAGCACAAGCACGTAAGATGCTCTGGATTGTGAAACTATCTGGTTTGAAACATTCTTGCATGTTACGAAAACATGTTATTGCATTATCAAACTCGTTTAATTGTACAAGGGTGTCAATCATGACGTTCCAGGAAACCACAGTTCTTTCAGGCATTTCATCGAACACGTCTCGTGCATCCTCCAAGCTTCCACATGATCCGTAAAAATGGATTAGACTGTTGTTGATATATACATCTGACGCGAGTCCAAGTTTGAAGATATGGGCGTGTAACTGTTTGCCCTCGGAAATAGCAAAGAGATAAGCGCAAGCTTTGAGTACAAACGGGAATGTGTGCTTATCGGGTGTAACATTTCCTTCTGATATCATTTTGAGGTAGAGTAAAATGGCTTCTTGCTTACGGTTGTTGCTCCGAGAGCAAGCTCTAATGATGGTGTTCCAAGCGAAAGAATTTGCGTTTTGGATATGGGTTTGGAAGAACAAGGACGCGTAGTGGAGGTCGTGGAGAGATGAGAAATGGAGAATTCGACTGTGGAGGAAAAGCGTATGCGGATTAGTGGTGGAGGTGGTTCTGAGTATCTGGGCGTGGATTTGCTTGAGCTGAGACATGGAGGTGCACTGGTTTAGTAAGTGGAGGAGACGATGGTGATGGTTGGTTGCTTGGATGTAATTATTATAGTTCGTGGTGGTTGTGGGCACCGTCGAAGAATGTATGGTTGCAAGAACCATAATTGTATGAAGAAACGATTTTAATGTTTAAATCTGTTGTTACAGAATGAAATTTGGTTAGAATCTAATCACTTATAAGGCTAATAAACTATATGACCTGACCAGACAATCAAAATCTCAACAATTAACTCAAAACTGAAGATTGGAACTTAAATACTTAATTGTGCCTTGCTTATGATTGAGTGAGAAAATCGAACTGGAACATTGGAACTTACTTGTGAAGTTGAAGTAGAGAAGAGAAAGATAAACAGCGAGATGGAGTGAAATTGTGAATTCTTTCACTCTTCACTGGTTCAATGGAGAATAGCGATAGCGATAGATTGCAGTGAATTCTCTAAGCCCACAAAGATTCGGAGGGCTGGAGGAATTCCTGATGAAGAGATTGTTGCATCGATTTAGGATTTTAGGTTCCTGGTCTTCTTCTGACGTTGAGAGAGTCCCGCTAAAAATAAAATCCTACCTATCATTTGGTTTGGGTTTGGGTTTGGGTTTGGGTTTGGGTTTGGTTCGGTAAACAAAGGGTTTCCTAAAAAAATAAATAAATAAATAAATAAATCATTAATCTTTTTTTTTTTCATGTTAACAAAATTAATATATATTTGATATAAACTATTTTAATTTCTTAAATCAATTATCTTAAATTATTTTAAATCATATTATTATTTATTATTTATCTTGATTTTTTTATTTTTTTTATTTTTGACGTTTTATTCGAATACTTATTTAATGTTATTTTGTAATGTTTCAAATTCCAAAACAAAATTTTCATTCAAAATAAAAGTATTTGTTTCAGTTCCATTCTCAAAGATCGAATAATAACCATTTATTCAAAACAACAATCACGAATCAAATTAGAGTATCAGATATAGTAAATCAAAAGTGTGGAAGTTTCCAAAACATATCGAAGGATGTCATGCAATCACGTCGTGTCCTTCTCTTTGCTATTAGAACAACTTGCAACATTCAACTTAAACTGTAAGTACAAAGCTTAGTGAGTTTTCTAAAATATCACATACTCATTTGAGTGTTATGATACCATCATATTCTTATGCTCACTTACGTTGCTACAGTACCACTGTAGTAACGTAAGTCTTTCCTGCTATGATCTCATATAGTCTCGCATGCAACTGTTATGGTAGCAGCATATTCTTTCATATAATTGTTATGGTACCACCATAGTCTTTCATACAAGTGTTATGGTACCACCATAGTCTTTCATATAAGTCACAAAGACAAACAGCGTACATTGACACCTAGTGTAATTCATAGTATAGTGAAAACAACTCACCTGAACTGAAGAGTTGAATCCTAACTACTCGAAGTCCCAAGGAACCAGCTACACAAACCACTTAAACCAAGCATATGCAAAACCTCAATCTATAACTCAAAACCTTCAATCTGACAAAAAAGTCAAAGTGGTCAAAAAGGCAACAGTAAACGGTCTTCACACTGTGACCACTAGGCCATAAAATAGTCGCAATTTGCCTAAGACCCGTGCCATAAGTCTCAAACCTTATCATGTCATAAATCTCGTCTGAACCAACTTTTCCTTGAGTCCTTAAACCATTAAGTCCATAGCTCAAAATCTCAGATCTGAATCTTTTAAAGGCTTACATGGATAAATTTTACATTCTTTGGGCTCAAATGAATAAAATCTCAAGCCCTAATTAACACTAAAAGGACTTTAAATGCTCACAAATACATGCATGGCTTGATGAGAGTGCAAAACTCTCAACTTTGTAACACCAAAAGGTCCAGAAATCAACTCATAATCAATGCAAGGTCCCGGAGTTGCCCAAACTCCAAAAATAACATGATCAAGGGACTAAAAACTCCTAAAACAAGTTAGATCTAAACACAAAGAACATAAATGTGGTAGCTTTATACCCACCAAGGTCTAGAGACGAGAATAGTATGTTGGATCTAAACTTGTACAACACCTTCTTACACCAAATAACACATTCACCACCTTCAAGCTTCACCAAAAAGGATGAAATCAAATCAAGAACACAAAGGTAGGCTAGGGTTTGCAAATAAGAACGTTTCTAAGAGTGGAGGTTGCCCAAATGAGGCAACCCTAGGGATTAGTGTCCAAGACCCAAAAATTAGGGTTTCTCATATCAGCAAGGTCGCACTGTGAGTCATAAGACTCATGCTGTGATTTTCATTAAAGCTCACGCCTTGATTTTGGACTTTTCACAAACCTCCAAAATTTGAAATCCTCCGGTGGACAAATTGATAACCTCGGAAACCGGTGTTACATATTTATTATTTATTTTCCATTGTCGTTTTTTTCTATTTTAACTTTATAATGTTTTGTTTGCTACATTATTTAATCATAACTTTTAACATTTTTTGTTTATATGAAACATGCTTTTAAACAGGATCTTTCGAATCTGTAACTTTTTTACAACTTATAAGTGTTTTTTTAAAAACTTTTTTACAACTTAGGAATGATTTTAACTTTTTAACGTTTAGTTCGTTTTGTAAAAAATTTGTTCGCTTTTTTCAAATGTATTATTAGTATTGTTTTTTATTTTTTGATATTTTTATACGAATATATTATTTAATATTTTTTTATTTATTTTAACGATTTTGTACGTTTATATTATTTAATGTTGAATTTTTTTACATTACTATTATAGTGGAAGTTGTCCATATGTACGTTTGTTCGAACACAATGGTTAATACAAAAATAAGAGTGTCCGGGAATCGAAAAGTAACTTGAAAACAAGATTCGACACTCTTTTCTTGTTGGATCAAAAAAAAAAAATTCAACTCATCCACGGATATTATCTTTTGTCATAAATATAATAGCTTTTATTAGGTATTATAATAAATATTTTGTTTTATATCTGTATTATGTGATTCTCTAGTTTTAAAAAATATATTGCTTAGATATAATAAAAAATACAATTAAAAAATAAAATATAATCTAAACAATTTATTCAAAAGATAAGAAAAAAATGAAAAAACAAAAAATCAAATCATTTTGATTGATTTTACTAATTGATTAGATTATTTCTATAACTTTAATGTTTTACGGAAACAATGTAACTAAAACTTTCAAATGAGTCTTTTTTTAGCACCGCCCTAAACAAACCGAATCTATCTTTTCAATCCAAATCTCATGGTTTTATGGTTTTTGTTTTGCGGGTTTCTTATTACCCATATTTGTTGCTATTTTATGGTCTTTTTGTAAACAAGAAGAGATTACAACAAAACAAAGACGGTAAAATGTATATTTTACTACAAAAGAGATTCTTTGGAAAAAGATTGATGATTTAGAGCAAATGAAATGAACTCCTTACTGTTTATAGGAAACTTGATCTATTTACGGAAAGTTTCATAGAGTTTTATACATACATTATTATTCTATAATCATAATCATTTATTTGCAACTAGTTGTGAGACTCATATATTCATATATTACATGGGTTAATTTAAAAAGAAAATTAAATATAAAGGTCTAAATATTTAAAAACTTTGAATTTATAAGAAAATAAAAAAATAATAAATTATCATAATGGAAATGTTTAGTGGAAAGTGGGTGGCATTGTTATTGGGAGGTGGTGGGTTCGAATCCTGCTTCCTTTTCTCCAATTTTTTTCTATGAAAAGCTTCAGCATTTAATGCATCATATACAAACTTTAAGGAATAAAATCATAAAAAGGTGTCTAGCCTAGCAGAAAATATGTTTGTTTGTAGTGGGAGGTCGTAGGTTCGAATCCCACTTGCTTCATTTTCTAAATAAAGTCCGATTTTTGTATTTCAAAGAACCATACGCTGATGTGGCATGCCACGTTAGCATCCACATCAGCCCTTGTTCAGCTGGCATGCCATGTGGCATAGCTTACCTGCGCAACAGGTCAAAAAGGATTAAATTGTAAGGTTTAGCCGGTTTCTTGGATTTTTCTATTCAAAAAAAAAATTTAGTACTAAATTGAAACTTTTGTCAAAAGTTTGGGACTTTTTCTGAAGATTTCCCCATAAACAAAAAAACATAATGATCTTTGATTTTGAGAATTTTGAAATTAAAAGGTAAGTTCATTAATGACAATTTTGAAATTAAAAGGTAAGTTCATTAATGACATTGATATCCATTTATTACTTTATTTATTGTTTAAAATATTATGTAAAATTTTAAAAAATAGAAAAACTTATAAAATGACATATGAAAAAAAAATTAATTCAAAATATCCACAAAATGACATTTGACAAATTAAATGAGAGTGTGACAAGTGGCAAAAACGAGTAGATGGTCCGCATATTTTTACAATCATTTATAATTTATATATCGAAAACCTTATGTTTTGGGCCTTAGTTGAGTATGGGCAATTGGGCATTAAGCTGATGTCGAATGAATCTGTGCTCGCATGTGGGCTTGGGCCTCTAGCTGATGGAGTGATGGGTGGTATAGCTTATAAGGCTCCTACACCTGCTTTTTATTTCAGCTCCTGTAAGTTGTAAGTCTGTAACTTGTGTTATTTCAAAGGATTATTAGATAATTATTTATGGTATGGATCAAAACAAAAATATTTATCTGGTGAAAGATAGGGATTTAACCTGTTTTTAATTTTTTTGCTGAAATCGGTGAAGTCACGCATCCCTCCTCCACATTTGATGAAATCTTTGACTTCTAAAATTGACATCAAATACTAATAGTTCATAACAGGTTACATTTACATTTGATTTAGCTTTACATTTCATTTGATGGTTATATAATTTAAAAGTAGGCTGCTATTTTTTCATATCAGGTCACTCATTTTTAGGTCATAGGATCGGAACAAATCATGTTGTTGTAATGAAGTCATGAACAAATTCTCTGGAAAAGAAATGATGTTACTAAATTGTTGTTGTTGGAATGATTTTTTTGTTGCTATTGCTAGAATGAACAAAATGCTACTAGAAGCTTGGAAGTCGAATTGAACAATTGTCTAGAACAAAACGTTGTTACTAGAAATCTGGATTGAACAAATGATGTTTTGGAACATTTGTCT